CTCCGTCAAGAGCCCGAACCAGACTCGGCAATCGCCTTCCAAAGGTGAACCCCGATCTTCAGGCCGAACAAGCCGAACACGTCCAGCGGCGAGCTTCCGAACAAAGTTTCGAGGCAAGACTCGTCGAGCAGCTGTACGATGCCACACTGAGCCAGGAGCGACGAAAATGATCTCGTCACTGGAAGAAATTCCCACCAGCACAGCCGCAACCAGGCTGACTTCGCCCCCAGCTCGAGGAACGGCAATGGCAGCGAGAGGATAGGCAAGGTCAGCTTCCCCTCCAGCAGCGGCGACCAAATGAGCACGAAGGGAGGCAACGTGGTCGCCAGCGATGTCCTCCCCCTCTGTATCCTCTTCAGGCATCAGGCCAGCGGACGCCAGAGCGTCCTACCGCCCGACGGGCCTCCCACTCAGAAGGGAAACCCAGGAAGACGAGGTCACCTGGGTCCCGGCCTCCTCCTGGGAACTGAGCTCGCAAATCTCGAAGACGGTGATAGATCTTTGCCGTTGCCAAGGCCTCGCCCGAAGAGTCCGAGAAGACCACGTAGATGCGGCTGCGCAAGTCCAGCTGATCACGTCCTGAAGGACCTCGATGACCACCCTGCAGCGCTCGCAGCACCCAATCGCCCAGCTGATCTGCTAGGCGCTCCCGAGCCTCCCGTGTATTCTCCTTGTGGGGACTGGACTGTCCCGGGCCCTCGGCCCAGCAAGGGGGTGCTCGAAGAAGACTGACGAGGATCCTCCACAAAGATGGCGCTCCCGTCGTTTGAAACTTCCTCCGCCCTCTGGCTTTCCAAGGCACTCACCCGAAGACTGAGCCGAGCAACCTGATCAGATAACGCTCGAACCTCCGCAGCAAGAGAAGAAGAGCTGCTCATCCACGCTTCAAGTGGAGAGAGGCAATCCGATCACGGACCTCCACGGTCAGCCGCTGCTTCAGAAGATACAGCAAGTCGAGCAAGCCCCCCAGAATAATGCCGATCAGGATCCCCAGCAGGAGCCCGAGCAAGAAGAGCCTCTGCACCTCACCCTCCGGGCACTCAGGAATGAAGCGTTCGAAGGAGGCAACTGGATCAGGAGGGCGTAGGACGTGCTGGCTCAGCAAGGTCAAAACTAAACTGCTTAGAGACCCTGCCCCTGCACCTATCGCTAGAGGTCGGCTGCTACTCATACAGCTTGACCCACGAAACTGCAGCAACCCATTCAGCTTCGCTCGCATGAGATCATCCTTGACGGATGCCTGAATCTTGTCTATAGTAGTCTGACCGGATTTCACCTTGCACGACACGGAATTTGGCATTGCTGTAAATGTTTCAAAAAATGACTATACAGTCTGGTAAGGTTAAACGAGACAGAACTTCAATCAACTTTGTGTGGTTTACTTTGTCGAATGTTTTTCCCCAATCTAGTAGAACTAATGATATGTTTGTGCCTCGGCGCTCGGCCATGTCCATAAGTCTTCTGGCTATAAAAGTAGCTTGCGCCGTCGACCTTTTCTTGCGGAAGCCGCATTGTTTTTGACATCCATGGTTCCTTCCCGGGCTCTATGCGGCTTTTATTCAATGCCGCTAGGATCTTATAAAACGTTTGTAGCAGCGCAATAGGACGATAATTTTCCAACTTTGCTGGATCTCCTTTCTTGTAGACAGATGCAATGTTTGCCCGGTTCAAAGAGTCAGGGTACTGACCATTCATCAGAACATCATTGTATTGCGCAAGTAGCATTTGTCTATTGCTATCGTTCAGGAATTTGATAAGTTCTGTAGGCTTCTGAAAAGGTAGTTTCCCAAAATAAGGGGACCTCAATATGGACCCCAAACATACTACAGTCCTTAATATAGGGACCTCCAAAAGAGTACCGCTTCTGGGCCTTGCGTGGACCTGGTGACCTCTCCCTGGGGTTAGTTTCTGGGGCCCACACTGGGCGCGATATTTCGGTGCTTACAGTCCAGAACAAACCCTAGAGGATATATTGGGGTTATAGGGATAATGGAAAATAAATGGAAACTACTATATTATATAGGGTTATATAGGGGTAATATACTGCAGACTAAGTGACCAACTGGGCAAGAGAGCCGCGATGGTCCAGCTTTGCCCATCGGGGCACCAGTTTTCTGGCTGTAACCAAGGCTCCACGAAAAGGAAGCAGCGTGCTAAGTGCCTCTGACAGAAGCAAGCGTTTGGCAGCTGCGTCTCAAATCCTCAAACCCTAAACCCTTGAAAGCGAATACAGAATAAGGACCTACCAGGGTCCAAAGTTTCTCCTCTCGCCTCGGCCCAATACATAGGCCAATATGCATTCAGTGGATTTTCATAGCACCCTGATATCCCATTACCCCTATATACCCCTATATATTATGGTAGTTTCCATGTTATTTGCCATTACCCCAATATAACCCCTATATATATATATATACCTAATACAACCCCCAACATTACCCCAGTTTCCATTTCATTTTCCATGTTCTTTTCCATTTGATTCTCCAATATAGGGAGATAAAATCCCTAAACCCTAAACCCTAAACCCTGAATAGTAGTTTCCATTTTATTTTCCATTATCCCAATATAACCCCAATACACTATAGTAGCTTCCATCTTCTTTTCCATTATCCCTATGGAACCCCATTATAACCCCAATATATACCTTTATAATCCCCTATATAACCCATTGTAGTAGTTTCCATTTTATTTTCCATTATCACAATATAACCCCAATATATCCCATACCCCATCCTGGCCTTCCCCATTTTGTTGGGCCATGGGGTACGACGATTCAGAGGTTGTAAGAGTAGACAGATCAGACCAAGGCGGCTAGGGCAGAGCATTAAATCACTTAGAATGGGGTTTTGAGGCTCAGAGTATGAGGCGCACTAATGAACATTTTTTTCATGGGCAACCGAAATGTTCCATTTCATCAGCAGTCCCCTACTAGTGGAGGTGATTGATTCATCTGGGCTCTACAATACTTAGCTAGTGCGTGCTATACCTTGCATTGCTGATTTCCAGCTTTCAGTGACTGCCTGCCTCCACTCAGGAACGTGGGTTTGCAAAGCCAGTGTGCCAATGGCAGCAAGCATGGCAAAGTAAGTCGTCAGGGCCACGCGGCCAATCCGCCTGCAGGGCCACAGCTACAGCTGATTCCGAAAACTTGAGCTTTCCGCTCATGTATGATTTGGCATTTCATTGAAACTGCTCTTCATTTTTGCAACGGGGTCCTGACCAGAAACTGACACACGGAGCCACAGCGCCAGAGATCTCTAGTGCCGTATGCCCAGTGTGTAACAAAGCCACCTCGAGTCTTGGAGCTTCATTACAGCGTGATTCACCTGGAATGCGGGAAGACTGAAAGTGTCATGTAAAGTGCAAATCTGGCAGCTCATCATGATGAAGGCGGCCACTGCAACGTTAGCTCGGTCTGTGAAGACGCTCGCCTCAACTGAAACAGGCTGGGGAAGCCATCGGGCTTGTGCACCTGTGATCACCTGCATGTGCCGCTGTCTAGCCCAGATGCGCGATGAGCAAAGTGGTCCGCCAAGATCCACAAAGACAGCCTGGGTTGCTGTTAAGGAACTTAACTTAAGTTACGATATTGGGAAAACCCTATCATTTACTATATCATCTACTTATATACTTATATACCCATTAAGGTATCTTAATTTAAAGTCCTTAACAGCAACCCAGCAACAAGGACCTCGCACCCGTCAGGTGGACAAGATGGCCTCGCCGCAGCGCTTCGACTAAAGAGGACTCCAGGCAGATCAAAGTCTCAATGACTGCTCTGACACGTATGACGACACTACTGCTACAGTACTGCCGATCTATAGGGTTTAGGGTTTAAAGGTATTACCACCAGCAAAAAAAATTGAGAATCAATTGGAAAACACAATGGAAAATAAAATAGAAAATAAAATGAACACTGAGAATGCAAGGTAGTTGATCTATCACCTCAAGTGACACCACTGTCAGGACTGGCCTTTGGCGTCATCCTCCTTGCGAGACCTCTTACGACCTCCCAGCAGGCATAACACAACAGCACACTTAGCAGTAGGACCAGAAAAAGCTGACGGGGATGGGTTATGGTTACTTGGAGGTTTATGGGACTTAGCAATAACTTATAATTGGGCTTATAACCCTTCTTAGAATCCCCCTAAATGGCCTCATGGAGGTTACCCCGCATATAAGTATGGTTATGAGCCCAGTTATAAGTAGTTAAAGGATATGAATCCTTATGCGCAAGAATCATAGTCATAGGTAGCACAAGCGATGACCATACTGTAGCAACAGTACCAGCCCTCCCTCTCCCGTCCTGCGTCCATGATTTCTTCATCTGGAGGCCTCACATCAGCATCAAAAAAATTGAGCTCGTTGCGAGCACGGTGGGGCCACAGCAGTTCCGAACAAAACAATTCCAATGCACAAGTTGTCAGCTTAAACATCTACTGCTATATTCTATAGGGGTAATATAGGGGATATATAGGGATAATGGAAAAAATGGAAGCTACTATTTGGAATAATAGTAGTGCCTCACCAGAGGGTAGAAGTCCTGGTCGTCTCTGCTGACCTTTGGAGATGATTCCCCGTGACTCGCATTCAATGACAAAGCCTTGCAGGCTGCAACGGCTTCAGACTGCTGACAAGAATACCAGGCCTCATGCAGACTCACTCCGGCACCACCATTGCGCATGCTGCCCTGTATTTATAGCTATGTGACCATTGCAAGCTACAAGTTCTCCATAGCTATGGCAAAAGGACCCAGGGAGCGTGTGTCATTTTCCTAACAAGCTACTGCAATGCAGCTAAGAAAGCAAATAGCAGTGAGTGGCATTTAAGTGTGGGACTAGGACTCGGCTGAAGTGGTATGAGAGGGACTTTTGTTTGGAGCTGTTGTGTACATCCTGAGCCCGATCCAGGCTGACAACAGAGGCACGACAATGTACACAGGCCCATCAAGGCTGCAATGTGTGAATGCATCGATCGCTTGTGTGGACTGGGCACACTGCACAGCAGGCGCGGCTCAGCTAGGGAGAGGCTCCTAATCAGGACTTGTTGTGACGCCGGGTTCAGGGCTCATGTAAATGAGAGCGGGAGCCTCCTGACCGTCAGATCGTAACCAAGAACACCAAACCTTGAAAGGTTCAGCAGCTTGTCCAACTAGCTTGACGCTTATAACTTGTGGCAACAAGGAGCTGAAAGACTTTGATTCCAACACCCAGGTGCTTCGCTACCTGAAGCGTGCATCAACTTGAACAGAAAGCAAAAGCATTGCTGTCCGAACAGGAAGCACTTGCTTCAGCATCACGTAGCCGTGATATAGCAACTATACATATATATATATATACCCTATTGGGATGTAGTAGCTGTTAACCCCTATATACCCCTATAGAATCCATTTCTAATTACAGCGACGAGGCCTGCCAGTAGACGCCCTCGTCATAGTCGAGTAGGGACTTCAGCGGCCCTTGGCAGCATCGCTTGAATGACCTCAGTACTACGCGAAGGGCAAACGGGACGCCTTATGACATTGGACTGGGCCAAGGACTCAGGAAAGTGATAAATGTATCCATAGAGAAAGCGCCTCAGGCACTCAAGTAGGTGAGCCATAGTTTAAACTCCTAGTATCCCCCTTAATAACCCCTATAAGAGTCCCCCATATAACCCCTTTTTAAGGAGTTTAGACTATAGCTCATGTGATGAAAAAGCTTTGCTGGAGATGAGGGTCACACTCAATCCCCAGGAGGGGCAAGGCCGTGAGCTCAAAGCTCATTCAAAGGAGCTAGCGACACAGACCCAAGTACTAATCTTTCAGCCAGTTAAGCTGCAAGATCCATGCCACACCTCAGCAGGTTGTACGCAAAGACCATTCAACAACTAGCAGCGCAACTTTTTTCTTCGCTGATCAGGGTAAAAGTACGGAGCCCTCCTGCGCCACGGCCTACGGGAAGCTTGACTGGTGGAGTGCGCCTCATGCAAGGCCACCAGCTTAAGAGGGCCTCCTCACAGAGAGTCAGCTCGGTCATCATGGCATGACATCCCTGCAGCCAACATACCTGCCCAGGCGAACGAGACTCAAACTACCGGGCTTCACAGCACCTGTCATGAAATTAGTAACAGGGGCACGGCTGCCAGCAGCACGAAAATGTGCCAGAACTGAGCAGAGGCTTCATACGCAACGGCATAGAAAAGACGTGCTAGTGAACTTCGCCTCATACATGTTTGCACAAGGCTGCAGTAGTGCAGAAGGTACGCACTGGTTTTTCAGCAGCTAGCCACCCGGGATGGGTATGTCAGCTACTAATATATCTTCTTCACTTGCTGAGAGGTGTTTTACAACCGTCTGGTCCTGGAGGGAGATCACGCAGCTCGTCCCACAGAACTGGTTGCAAAGGTTCGTGTCTCGGCCCAGCAGCCTGAGTTCCTCTTTGCCCACCCGATTGGCACAGACGAAGATCACCTCTTTGCCATGGAGGGGCCTCAGGCGACTCATCCAGGCGTCGATGGTCTCCTTGGAGAGCTCTTCGTCTGTCTTCTCCGCAAAGGCCTCTGCTTGGTCATCTGGATGGTTTTTGCACCAGGCAGATGTGAAGACCAAGAGCTTGGACTTGCGCTGCAGGTGGAAGTTTGCGAACTCAAACTTCTCCGGGGGCGCTTTAAAGTCTGCAGGATTGATGTCCATACAAATCCCGAAGCCCACGGGCGATACTGGCAAGCCCTCAACCTCGATGCTTTTAAACCCATCTCCAGGCTCAGCCCATGTTTTGTCCGACTCATAAAGGTGCACTTTGTCAATATGTTCAACTTTGCCACGAGGGCTGGTGACAATCATGGAGTTTACCCGCTTCTTCCTGATTCTGCGCGGCACTCCACAGCACACGACGCAGTTCAGCATCTTGGCAACGCGTTGGCACCATTTGTGAGTTCGGCCGTTGCTGTGCTCCAGCACGTTCTGGATGTGGTCGGCATCCCTCCAGTGGTACCCGGTGAATGCCATCTCAGGAAGCACAAGCAGGTCTAAGCCTTTCAGCTTATCTTCTCTCTCCCTCAGCATGTTCATGGCATACTCGCAGTTTCGCTCCACTTGATTGTGCAGCGGACTCATCTGCATGCAGGCCACGCGCAAGTGCCGAGGCATGGTGACAAGACCAAGTCATTGCAATTAAATGTCACGCGAGAAAAAACCAAAGGTCGTGGATGTGTCACTCACTTGAAAAGACGGTTTAGGCTTCTTTTCTTGATTTTTCTTGTTGAAACCATCACATGGCTCAGAACCAGCAACAAGTGTATAACGGACAACTAGGTCTAAGTCGTTTGGCCTGGAAATGCTTTTTCTGAACTAAGGGCATCTGCCACACTAAGTTTAAGTTTTCGGTGAATTCTTGCGCAGCGGCAGCGGGGAAAAGAATGCCATGGTTGTGCAGGGCATGATCAGAGCTGCTCCAGCGTCAGTGAAGCATTAATGCTGTGGCCTGATGGCTGTGGCCAATGATGTCGAAATATCCTGGCCAATGACCTCATGCCAAGTGCAGCAAGCCATGGACACCTCCGCTGAGGGGAACTGGGGCCCTTACGCTCGGGCCATCGGGCGAAGTAGAAGCAAGCCCTCAGTGCAATTCAGAATGAGCCCCCTGACCTGCACATGTCTCTGGGCAAGCTCAGGTCGTATCCCTGCACCGTAGCTGCCAAACATCAGCAGCAGGTAGGGGAGCACACACGCTGCCTCCTTGCGGTCAGCACGGGCGACTCGCTTGACTGGCCCTCCCAGGTGCAAAGCATTGCAAGACCTTTCGCTTCGGTGAAACAAGCGGCAAGCGTGAGCAACGGCCGTATTGGCGTCGCAAACTCATGGGCCTGTACAAGTTCACCCATCTTCGCCCGCATTGAGACCTCAACGCCGTCTAAGCTTGTCTATGGGGACTGACATCAAGGTTGCATTGTCCACTTAGTTTTATTGTCCAGCTGGTTCTCCATTATTGGTAGTTGGTAGTTGCTTAGGCCCCCTAAACCCTAAACCTTAAACCCTGAACCCTAAATCCTGAACCCTGAACCCTAAACCTTAAACCCTGAACCCTAAATCCTGAACCCTAAATTGAACCCTAAACCCTAAACCCTAAAACCCTAAACCCTGTAGCTGGCCCTTGCCTCAAAGAGCCTCTGCCATGCTTTGGTCATTTCCGCGGCTTCTTTGGTTGGCCTCACATCTGGAGCCGGCGTGGTCTCAGGGTAGCACGACCCTCAACTAGTAACAACAATAATAACAACAATAATATTACTCGTAATAGTAACAATAATAAGAATAATAACAATAGTAAACAACAATTATAATAGTAGTGACAATAATCATAAGAATATTGAAATACTAATCAGATTAAAACAGCAGTCTAAACTCCTAATATCCCTCTTAGTAATCCCTATGATAGTCTCCTATAGAATCCCCTATATAAGCCCCTGTAAGGAGTTCAGACTATACTATTAGTACTATCCCCTGCCTTTCGCTCTGTTACTCAGCCTCTTCTCGTAGAACTGTGGCATTTTCAGCTGACTCAGGACCTCGAACTCATGTGCGCTGCCATGCCACTCCGCATCTTGGCTTTCCCATTCCTAACCCCACTGGGTTGCTATTAAGGAGCTTAATTTAAGTTACCATATTGGGGAAACCCTATTATAATATACATATATGTACCCATTATGGTAACTTAATTTAAGTTCCTTAAATCCCTATATTCCCCCAGTTTCCATTTCATCTTCCATGTTCTTTTCCATTTGATTCTCCGTTATAGGGGGAGTTCCTTGACAGCAACCCAGCCCAGCCAGGGACATCACATCCTCATACTGCGCCAGGCCCAGCAGGTGGGAGCCCGAAGCCTCCCTGCAAGGCACTGTAAGGGACGCAGGCTGCCTCTTTAGTCAGAATCTCATCTGAGAAAGAGTCTAAACTCCTAGTATCCCCCTTAAGAACCCAGGGTTTAGGGTTTAGGGTTCAGGGTTTGGGATCCCTCTTAAGAACCTCTATACTACATACCTACATAATCCCCTTTTAAGGAGTTGAGACTGTAGCTCATCTCGCAGCAAGGATGATTCCCAAGCAGAGAAGAGGCCTCTCGGTTTGCAGCTGCGAGCAGAGCCTCTCCAGCTCCTTTAGCAAGTTTAGGGCCTATACAAGGATTCTATAGGGATATGTAGGGGTTATATACAGATTATAAAAGGGGTATACAGAGATCATATAGGGATGTTTGGATGAATGGAAAGACAGTAGAAACTATTGAACTATTGACATGCTGCGGCCGGGCCGCTTGGAATTTGCAGGTGGTAGCCTAAAGGCGGACCAGTCACATAAAAACAAAGCGCTGGCCTCGTTAGAGAGCTCGTTAAAGTCCACCACTTCCTCGGTACCCACATGACGGAATCAAACCGCCAAACTCAACCAACAAGGCAAGCAAAGACTGCGACTGGGGTGTCACCCTCTGTGATGAAAGTGGAGGCCTCACTGCTGTGCCACATTAACCCCCCTATATACTGTAATAATGAAATTAAGTACCCCCAATATACCCCAATATTACACTGTAATAATGAAATTAAGTACCCCCAATATACCCCAATATTATGCCCTAAACGCTGGAACATCTGGCACGAACGCGGCACCTGATCGCGCTTGGACTTCGTGTGGCCCACTGGCGACCCTTCACCTGCCAAGGTGAAGCAGGAAGCCACCGCACATGGAGACCCAGAAGTCTTGTTGAAACACCAGTGTTATATATGATGGCAGCTATAAAAGACTGCAGGATATTGCCTAGTTCTAACTTGGATTTTCCATACTTCTTCAAGCATAACAGCGGCCTTTGTCGTTTGCGGGCTTAGACCCAGCCTTGGCAGCAGCGCTGCAAGAAATTTGAGCAGTGAAGTCACATGCCTTCTCAAGTTTTGGTGATTTCTCAAAATTAGGGTCTGCCTGAATGCACGCAGAATACAGTCCTGGACTGTAACCCAGTCCTCCAAGCCCTAAACCCCAAACCCTGGAGAAGTCCTCAGGAGGCAGCAGCTTTGCAGCCGTCACTCTGCTGTTTGCGGTGCGAGCCCTGCACACCAAGCTACTGCCATCAAGCCACAACTTCAGCGACTGGTGTTTCTTGATTTTCTTACCATTATTGGTACTATTAATGTTATTGGTATTATTTTGGTTCTTGAAATTCTTACTATAATTGTTATTATTAATGTTATTGGTATTATTAGTTATTAGTGTTGTTATAGTATTGTTGGTATTATCAATATTATTAGTACTATTGATATTAGTAGTATTGTTTTTATTCTTGGTTTCATTAATATAATATTATTAAAATCATCAGTATTATTGATATCATTTCCATTCTTAATGCCATTACTACTATTTATTTAAACAATTAGTATCGCTGTGCCAACTACTACCAGTAACTTCTGTAAGCCGCACCTTCAGGCGCGCACTTTGCACCTCAGGGGAAAAGTCTTAGTTTGGCTGGCGCCCAAGTCTACAGCAAGTGGCTTTGTGACGGCATCTGCTAGGCCCCGTTCCACAAAGCCCGCAGAATCATCGCTGACATGACCTCTTGAAGTCATGAGGGCTGTTCTGCCACAGTTAAGTATAACATATTATAGTATATTACAGTGTATTATAGTATACTACACTAGTATATCATGGTATATCATCGTATATTATGATATATTATAGTATATTATAATATATTATGGTATCATCGTATATTATAATATATTTCAATCCTGCAATCTCCGCCAGAACCTGCGGAAGGCTCTGGGCCCGGTGCTGGTGGGTTGTGGCCGCTTCGGCGGGGAAGGCCACATCCGCCGACTGGCACCCGGCATGCCGCAGCACCAAAAAGCATCAGCACAATGTAAAACGATATACTATAATATTTGATAATATACTATAATACACTACAATAAACTATAATATACTGGAATATACTACTTTATATAGTGTTATATACTAAAAGATACCATAATATACTATAAGAGCATCTTCTGGCAAAACAAGAAGGCATGTGCAGCTTCTCAGAATCGAGGTTGGGTTGTAGATGTGGGAAGTAGCAAGGCGGCGTGAGTTCCAGGAATTATGGTACATCAAAGTATATTATAGTATAGTATATTATAATATATTGCAGTATGTTTACCCTAAACCCTAAACCCTAAACCCTAAACCCTATAGTATATGCAAAGCATCTCCGGGCCAGCTTGGTGCGGCACTTCTGCTGGATGCACACCCCACGGCTTGCCTTGAACCCAATAAATCATGCCAGGCTAGAAGGGGATGTTACTCCCACAATGGAGCATCAAATGGAAAATGCAATTGGATAAAATGAAATGGAAACTTGGAATATATAGGAGTCGTGAAGTAGCAGGACTGCGCATGATTCAGGATTTCAGAATTCTAAAGACCGCATGCCACGGCTGGTGGAGACCGGATGCCACGGCTGGTGGACCCAAGTGCTGCGCATACATCAGCTCTGGCGGAGGAGTGGCCCCGATGGCACGGAGATCAACATGCCTGGAGCACGTCTCCAAGCCAACATCAGCTGGATGTCAAAGCATGTAATCCTGGAGCATGTAATCCTGGAGTCACAACCCTACCCGCCTTGATGTCAAGGGCATGTCTTGTACCTGTTTTTGCTGCCAATGCCACCAAGGCTTGTAGTCAGTGTCACTGACATGCACCTCCAAAAGATCGCCACTGAAGTTGTCCATGTAGGGCATGTCGCTGCCGAACACAGACTCGGTACCTGCATTTTCTCAGATCTGAGAAATGTGCGCTTGTGTTACCCTGCTGCAAGAAGCTATACCCAGGAACCGTACAGCACTACTGAGAAGAAGAACTATCGGCCAAAATAAAAGCAGCGCCAACACAAGTAACAGAGCCATAATATACTATAATACACCATAATATACTATAATATACTATAAATACACCATACCATACTGTGAAATACGAAAATATACCATAATATGCCATGATTTACCATAATCGATTCGGGCTCACCACTTCCAGGAGTCCGCCCATCCTTCGAACGTGGAACATAATAGTGATGATATTAAGAACAGTAATAGCAGTAATAGTAGCTGCAGTACAAATAGTAGTAAGGACAATATTAATAACAATAGGAGAGTGCTGAGCTGGTATGCGGGTTTAAGGCCTAGAGCCATAGAACCCAGGGCAGGCAGAGTACTAAAGTACCCACCAGCACTCCCATCAGCCCAAGTGACAATCATGGCTTGTACCCCAAAATACACTTAGAGTCAAGGGGTCGACTATCAGAACAAGTTGGAAGATTGGAGTATCGTTTTGGACTTTCCCATCCTAGCGACGATGCTTCTGCACTCGTCAGATCCAGTGGAAAAGCCTGACTCACTAACCTGAACCAAGGAAGCCTAAACACCAACACCCTGAAACCTGGACCCTAAACCTTAAACCTCTAAACCCTGAATCCAAAAGTTTTGTCATTAACGTCAGACTCCCTGAGCCCTACACTCTGACCCCAGAAGGGTTTAGGAGTTCAAGGTATAGGGTTTTGGATTCTGTGTTGTTCATTTTCATTTCCATTCCTGTAGATACCCCTAAATACATCTTATGGATGCACTATTAATTAAACCATGATAGAGCCCTATGTAACTACCCTAACCCCTATATAACTCTAGGTTCCATTCAATGTCCCATGTCATTATCTATTTTCCATGCGT